TTAATTTGATATAGGGGTTTAGGTATCTACAGCTTAAACTGCACGCGCTACATCGCTTGCGCGCGAGACACCCCTGAAGGTATACTGTAACCTTAACTTGTTTATCTCGTTAAATGTTTTATGGTGTAATTTGACCCTGTAGTTTTGATGTCGTGTAAATAGTTTCCTGGTTTATTCTTGGGAGACAACTTTTTGCAGCATTGAAATAAATGTACTGACTATGCAGAGTGCTTGTTTAAACCTCAGTCTGTAAGTTTCTCCTTTAAATGTTGCTAGTGTTAAGAAGGTGTGGGATAAAATGACAATGAGAAAATGTACTCTAGTGAAGGGTGCATCAAAGTTAAAGTGAAATATACTCGATTTCAGATCCCTGTGGAAACTGTCAAGTCATTGTGCAACAAAGTAAGTGGCTTCCAGTTGCCTACAGTCCAGTGTAATTATGTCATATCAACTCTTACATGTAGTTCCTCGAGCCCATGGGGTGAATTTTTCACTCATTTTCTCTTTGTTATAACAGCTTGTTTTTGCGGAAAAGAATTCCGAGAGGCTCTCTGTGGAACAGGTTAGGGTAACTGGGTAGTAGCAGTAGCAGTAGCGGTAGCGGTAGCAGTGGCGATGGCGGTGGCGGTGGCAGTGGCAGTGGCAGTGGCAGTGGCAGTGGCAGTGGCAGTGGCAGTGGCAGTGGCAGTGGTAGTGGTAGTGGTAGTGGTAGTGGCAGTAGTAGTAGTAGTAGTAGACTTTATTGGAGAGGGTAACATTTGACAGTAACAAAACTGATAAACTAATGGCCCTCAAAATAGACACAAAAAGGAAATTAATTAAAATCACTACGTACAACCTAGAGTAAGACATTTGCACTATGCCACACTAACACAGCCTATACACTTTAAATGAGTCTAATTTTTTACTCATTTGTCCTCTCATCCCATAGATACAGTGCATTTTATTACACTGAATTATCCTTTGCCAACAGTTAACTTTTTGTATATTTTTTGTTCTTCAAAATTTTGGGGGAACCAGGTAATGTGAATATGGATGGAAAAGCAGGATATTGGTCATGCCAAGGAAAATGTTTAAGGTACGTGATAAGGTTCAAATCCAATATCGGTTATTTGTACTTGCCTTAAAACTGCGTGTGCATAACAGAATTTGTGTTCAAAACAGCTTCGCCAAATGGAAGGCTTCTGATGTAAGAAAATTATATGCATGTAAGCAACCAATGTTTTTAAGGTAATAAAGGGAGTGTGTGAGAAAAGACCTACATGCTGTGTTGTATTTGTTTTGGACAGTACTAGTATAGGTTACTTGGCAAAAGAAGACTAAGCTTGTGTGTATTGCTCCTTGTTAACTCAGAAAATGGTGTTAACTAGCCTTTTCAACTTTGTAGGTATGAGGGAAAAATTCACTCCTTCCTTTGCTTTGTGTTCAACTATAATTATTGTAAATCTGCTGATCACTGTGCATAAGGCTTGCTCGTATGTTGTGTATACTGTTTATGAATATATTTTTGTGGCTACTGACTCCAGTCTAGAAAGGCATAGCCGGTGTGTCATGCTGTGGTAAGTAAGTCCTTAAACTTGCACAGGACAACCAACTTCACTCACGATTTTCATAATGGCGGACTATCTTCTGACATGAGTAAGGCCATAAATTTCCACAGGACCCCCAATACACCTAGTGAACTAAAGGCATTTTGCGATCTACCATCTTTGTTTTGCCAAAGTGGGATAATCAGCAAAGTATGTTTGATTCGTAGCTGTTTAATACAGACGGAGGATTTCATTCAAGAGAATTGACCTCGTGAACAAACACATTCGATTCACAAAACACGTAATCAACATAAGCCTACTGTAGCGATGGGTGAAGGTCAGTGTCGAAGCTGTTTGTTGAGACAGTACCAGATTGTATGGAAACCAATAGTAGTTTCTTGATGCGGTTAAAAATGTGAGCTGTCTGAAATCTTTATTTTGCTTGAGTGATAAAAAGTCTAAATGTTTTGTGAAGGACTCCACATATACAGGTAGAGGCACTGTGCTTTGGAAGATACTGATTTCCAAATATACTGACCTTGTTCAAACAAGCCATTATAACCTTGCCAAAAAGCTCAAAACTTTTTAAGGCCATTAAATTCAATGCATTATCAGCCTCAACTGCTAGTTTTGAACTGGAAGATTTTGTATATGTTTGAAAGTAGATTAATTTGTTTCAATATTGCATTGATAGCAATTCAACATGCTTTTAAACTGCATTTAATTGTATTTAATATATACATTGGTTGTAATGAATTATAAATCTGTGTTTTATTAATTTTTTGTACTTAAATATCTAGCAATAATGTATTGTCCACAACCCCACAAGCTTTCAGGTTTCTTATATATTGTGTAGAAATAAAGGCAACGTACCTACAGTGTACCAACCTACCTGTGTTGTCACAATGGAGGATGAAACGTTTGCCATGCAGGGCGGACCCCCAAAAGTTTAAGTGCTGCCATGATAGGCAAGAGCTCTTGTTTTTCCATTTTTATTTACAGTTCAACGGCTTACATCAATTTGTAAAAAAATGTAAAAAATAGGCTAAAAATTAAATTTGTGGCCATTAAGTTTACATCTGATTCAGTAGCTTATGTCACACTACAAGCGATAGAAAAGAAACATACACAAGAAACAAGACAACAAGAACAAAGGACACAAAAAAATAAATGAGAGCGAGAATAAAAGAAGAGCTCTTGGACGTTCATGTTGTGACTGAAACAGTAAAGGATGGGTCCTGGGAATGGGGTTGGGAAGAATTGCCCTTTGAAATAACCACCAGTGTTGCAAGCATTGGTGGAGAGGACCTAAGGATCATTGATCCAAGGTGATGTCTTGATGAGAGGTATGGCGTTGCAGAGGTCTGACCTGTTGTCGGATAGAAAGCAGTGGTGAGAGTCCGGGTGAGTGCAAAGGGTGTTGAGAAGGGTTGACATGAAAATAAGGGCAGGGTGGATGCAGCGATTGTAAGTTGTGGCATGAGATATAGGAGAGAAAAAGCACTGAGAAACAACGATGGAGGAGCTCTTGAAGACGTTCTGGTGTGATGGACATGGACATGGCAAGGGTATCAATGTGGATGCCAAGGAAGACCTTAGAGGTGCTTGGAGGACAGTCCTTATTGGGGGACGACTGAAGACCTAGGGAGGAAAAGAGGTCACCGAAAGCATTTAAGGTTGTAGTGGACTTGTCTGAGAGTCTCTGCACCACCGAAATTGTTGATATAATCGGTACAGCATACCTGAGAGCATGGAACATGTAGTTGACAGCAGTTGTTGTCCGTTGGCACATCATGGCCAAAGAGCGAAGACCAAAAGGCGGAGCTAAGTCAAAGTATAGGTAACTTTAGTGACGATATCCTAGGAGGTGAAGGTCGTGATGGTTGATACTGAGTTAACGGTAGGTGCAGCTTAAGTCCTTCTTGAAGAGGTGGCATCCAGACCCTTCAAGGCAGATGATGTCGACAAGAGTGTCGATGCCAGGTAACAGTAAGGTGAAGGGCTTGTCAAGGTAGATGTCTGAAGATGTCTGTTGATGGAAGAACCGTGGGGGAAACTGAGACCAAGAACGTTTTCTGGAACAGCTTTGGGTGATTTGAAGGGTACTGGTGACAATGTCAGTGCAATGTCAGAAAGGGTTTGATGTGTAGGGACTGCAGGAGGCACTGAGCTGGTACTGTGTCAAAAATCGATCATCTGTGGAGACGAGAGTGCAGATCCATGGTTCTGGCTTGATGGAAGGGGGAGATGAGGTGTAGTAAAACTGACTGGTCAACCAAACTGTAGGAAATTACAAAGTTCAGGGTCAGTGTAGTCAAGAAGCCTTGAGTGCCATTCAAGGATGCTGAGTACTGATGAGATGGGAATTTTTTAGGTGAATGCATTGGGGCTGGAAGCGGATTGAAGTTTGGCATGCATGGCAGGGAGGTCAGATGTTGTTTGATGGGGAGAGGGCATGGTGATGATGAGGTGTGAGAAGTGTTGACAAGAGATTGAGGCAGTGCTAGTCATTTGAATGAAGCTGAGTCTTGGTGGCGAGTGGGGACAGGGAACTTGCATTTGGGGCAGTTGCGCGCATGGACCGAGCGTTACAGATGTCTGCGCAGGCAGTAAGAGTAGGTGGTGGCTTGGTTGTGTGTTTTGCTTCTCTGGGTGTATCCTCAGGTAGTATGGCAGTAGGGATAAAAAATGGCTGTTTTAGCAACTGGAAGGAGTCTCCCCATTTTACGAAGCCAAACTCAATGGAACGTAAGATCTTGTAATGGTACACGTGGACTGCTGACCACTTGAAACTGCAAGCAAGGACCGCGAGGTCATGGAAATGGCTCTGGAGAGCATCATAGGGAAGATCTGGCAATGTATCTCTATACTGCTGGAACTTATAGAAATATAGCCAGTGCAAAAAGCTGATAGAATAACTGGCTCACCTGGAGCAATGATGTGTGGTCAGGGCTGGGGAAAATGGGTCCTCTGGGGAGCCTTGAGGTCTCCCGTGGACTTTGTTGATTCGTCGGCCATGTTGGGTGGTTTTACAGCTTGTTGAAGGGGCAAAGAGATCTTGGCCAACTCAAGCTGTAGTTCAAGCTTGCGATCTTCAGTTCGTGAATCTGTTTTAGCAGAGTGAGTTTCCAAAGGTCACGTTTAGTTTTGTCGAATCCCCAAGGTCCAGTGAAGGCTTAGTGACCTCTGTTTCCTTTGGTCTAACAGCTTTTAAGCTGGTTGAGAGCGGGCAAGAACCTGGTGTATTAAAGACATCGCCCAACAGTGGAAAGGCAGAAAGCTGTAGATCAAGCGGTAGTGGCTTTGCTGTGGTGCCTTGTACGTTTGCTTTATGGCGTTCAGGCAATAGGTTCCCATCGCGTTTATCTTGCAGGCTGTTAGCGGGAAAGTCAAGGCCTCTGAGACCTTCTCAATGGAAATCGGTAGTGAGTTGTTTAAGACTGTTGTGAGTTTTTTGAGTGACTTAAGTGACAGACATAGTGTGTAAAATTACAATATGTAAAATTGCAATGTCATTGGTCTAGGGAGACAGAGCATGAGGTAAGGAAATCTGACACCCCGAAGGTTTGATGTAATCAATCAAGTAATAATTAACTTTTTTGATCCTACATCAAAACAATACAATCAGTTTTTGTGGAACAGATCGACCAAGCTATCAGATGCCAACTAAGACAACATTATAGTGCTTGGTTTGCGGTTCTAGTCAATAATTGGATGGTTTATACTTGGAAGTATAAACCCACACAAGGAAACAATCATAATTGTGATTCAAGTTCAAATAAGTAGTAATAATTGCAATGCAATAACAAATTGTTTCAAGCAACCATTGTGAATGAAGCTCTCTATACAGTGCAGTAATATGTATTTAGTATCTATTCAATGCAGTTATGAATGAAGCTCTCCATACAATGCAGTAAGAAGTTTAGTCGGTTGTTCAATTCATTAGAAAATATGTCATTAGAAAATACATGAAACAAATTGGAGACAGTAACTATCATTTAGTACTAACCATAAGACTTAGTGCTATGTGAACTCCACAAAACAGAAGAGTGTTGCACCCTTATTTCAACAACATAAACATCATTTTATCACTCACCACAAATTCTATGTTAGCTCCATGATAACAGAAGGGTATTGTGTGCTTATTTCAACAACATAAACATTATTTTATCAGTCACCACAAATTCTATGTTAACTCTGTGATAACTGAAGAGTATTCCGTGCTTATTTCAACAACATAAATATCCTCTTATTACTCACCACAAATTCTATGTTAACTCCATGACAACAGAAGAGTATTGCTTGCTTATTTTAACAATGTTTTCAACAACTAATGTTTTAAATGGCCCTGAGAAATGTTTTTTAATAATTGTTAGATGTGTTAAAATTGTTTTATCTGATAGTGAAAGATAAAGAAACTGTTTTGGTTGTTTAACAGAGAAGCGTAAGGGTATGTTTTTCCAGTGTGAGGTCACAAATATTTAGGAGCTTGTGTTTGCAATAGCAAGGTACGAGGTGTAGTAGGTGATCCCAGATTAAAAACATAAGCATGCAAGGTGTGCATGAGTTTTTTTTGTGTGAATTAAGGTTATTCTCCAGTATTGCATTGCGCATCCCCACTGCGCATAATTTCATGTGTGATTAGTTTGCACGCATTAAAAAATGGCGGCTTTTTCTGTACAGCTGGACTTCGCCATAGAGGTAAATCATCATTTCCTCGCAAACGAGTATGGTGACCTATCATTTTTTTCTGTTGTTTTGAATTGAGTAATAAATTTCTCTGTGTAAAATAAATATGGACCAATTCTCAGTGTAGAACAAAAAGCAGTCGTCAGAAATGTGAATTTGGCAAGCAATCATGACTACAGTAATGGTGCTATTATAAGGATTTTTATGGGTATAAACAAGGTGCTGTTGCTCCTAAATGAACATGGGGACCCTCATTTTTATTTCAAAATTTAAGTTCCTATAATATAAACAATCAAAAGGCAAAGTTTCACAAAATTCTCAGTGCAGGTTCTATTTCAGTGGGATGACCTTAAGAGCCTCTGGAGGCAGCAGCATTTGGTGCACTGTACAACAACAAAAAAAGAATAATGTTTCACCTTAAGAAGTGTAATATCAAGCCAAGTTTTGTCAAGATTTGATTATTAACTTTGTATAAAAGAACTTCAATGGAACTGTTCTCAGCAAGACAGCTAAATGTTATGCAGCCTGTAATAGTCGCTAATGGTAAAAGCAGATTGGTGGGTAATTTTTCTGGACTCATTTTATAATAAGAACTAATTTAATGCAAATACCATGTTGCCAGCATTGAATCAGATTGATCATAGTTTCTTCAGTTTTAACATTCCAAGAAAACACTTCAAATTAGTATTGATTTTAAAAGCCATCTACAGTAAATGAGAAAACAATATCGAAGATAAACAACTTTCCGTACAACTAGACAAACTAGACCAAACAACTACAACTAGAACTAGAAAATATAAATTTTATAAGTTTTTAGCTTGTCACATAACCCTTCCAAATGCCTTTCACTTGTCCAAATTTCTTAACTGAGGCATCAAAGAATCTTGGTTGGAGGGCTTGCTGCTGGGCACCTCCTCCTGATCTCCATACATGTATGAAATTTAAATCTAAAGATGTTAAAATTGTTATCAATTGTCATTAAATTCTTTAATTAAGTTAATTTTAACCTTCAACAATAATATTGCAGGGCTCTTGACTGTGGCAATCATTACTGTCAAGATGTTTGTCATGCTGGTGTCTGTGCAGAGTGTCTTCTGAAACCTTCACTCGTTTCTTGCTGTCCCTGTGGCAAAGCTCTACTATTTGATTTGCTCGGTGAACATGAGGCAAGAAAATCATGTCTGGATCCAGTTCCAACCTGCAAATTAACATGTGGCAAGGCTCTTCCTTGTAGTCCGTCCAAAGGTATTATATAAGTAGTAAGACTATCCAGTACAACTGATGAAAAATAGTAGAACCACCCCTTATTATGTTTGACTTGAAAATGCTACCTCATTTGTTTTCTGTGACTTCTTGGGTATTCTGTGTGCTCTGCAAATTTTTTTCAGTGTTTCATGTACCATTTCAGCACCATCTTGAATGCTCATGTGCACAATGAGTGATGAACTTTTCCAGTTGCATAAGTCATTCCAGGCATACATGTACTTTACTTTGTTTATACTCATATTGTGTACAGTTGCTTCATTGTGAGTGTTGCTTTGTCATTTTGTAGGTGAGTGTTACTTCACTGTTCCATTGGTTCATTGTCTTGTTAAGTAAATGATTTGTCACAGATTTTTATGTGCAATTTACCAAAGCCTGAAGGAAATGTGTGCTGTTTCTGGATTCCATAGATGCACTGAATATAGTCTATTTTCTCAGGATCTGCTACTGTGCTGAAAAGCTAGCGGCAATATTTGAGCAAACCTCATGGCAGAAAAAAACAATTTGCAACAAGTGAGCCATCTTTGATGGCCATTGAGCCAAAGAAGTCTGACCTTTTTTGACTGCTGCTGGGTGTTGTAATCTATGTAATCTGAGTAGTTAAATAAATATACACAGTTTGTTGCTGTTGTTGCAGCTGTTACCGATGATTCAGTTCTTTCTGGGAATAGCCCTGTTCTGCATCATTAGGTTAAGCATAAATTTGCATCCTCCTTGTTAGCCTGTGAGCAGGCTCACCTTTGGGTCACATGCGTGAGCGGCCAAGAGCGAGGCGATCCGGCTGGGTGGAGTCTGGTGAAGAGGCACCAAGAAATTGAGCCTGCCTTGATCTCTGTAAATTTTTCATTTCTAATTCACCTGAGTGAAGTGAAATACCGTTGGCCAAAAAGTGGGAAAGGTGAGAAAACTGTTGATCTATTATGTGTGATGAGGAGTGATTAGATCCCCATGGAGTGGGCAATTTACCGCACGTTCTTATAATGGCAACTTTCATTAACATATGGGGTCAGAGAAACAGTTGAGTGCCTGCATTACTGATGTTATAAAAAAGTTCCAGTCTTTTACTGTTTCTTTTTTTTTCAAATTAAACAGGGAGCAGGAAATTACAGTTGTAAGTATGCTGATAAATTGAGACATACTTGTCATCCTGCCAACTGGATATGACAAGAGTTAAATATTAAAAACATATGTGATGGCTAACAGGCAATGAAACAACACGAAGGTGTTTGCCTGTTTACCAGCATCATCAAAGACCAGATTGCCGAAGCAAGGTCACTTGGGAACCAAGTTTGTGTCCTTGCTAGGCATAAACTTTGACGATTTTTTTTCGGCAAAACTTTATCAACAACAGATATCGTACCTGCATGTTGTTATGAAAAAGATTGAAAATTTTCCGGAGAAATTTGAGCTGCCAAAGGTCATACTGCAGGCAAAAATTAATTCAATAATTTTTTCTGCAGTTTTCTGGGGTTGAAATGAAAAATTTGCAAAGATCAGAGCAGACTCACTTTCTCATCTCGCGGCTTTGCCGCTCGATTGCATGCTCGTGCATGTGCTCCAACATGAGCCTGCTTTCAGGCTATCTCTTTCCCCTTGCCAGCATTTTCTACCATTTAGGTACTCTAGTATAAGGATTACTGTTAACTCAAACACACTCAATAAGCTGTGATTATTTCTAGTTAATAACAACTGTCTGTAAAAATAAAGCATACATGTATCAGAGCACAATCGTGTAGCTCCAAAAAATATCCATATCTACTGTTAGTTATCAGCTTAATTTCCACCTCCCTGTACCTTTTTCTCCCATCGTCAGTACCCCTACACGCAGGGTTCGTACCCTTTTTCAGAAACAAATTTCCAGGACTTTTCCAGGGCTTTTCCAGGACTCAGATTGATTTTTCCAGGACTCTAAAATTCACATTAACCCTTTCACTCCCATTATCTTAATGTTAATTCTCCTTACTGTCTGCCATACATTTCATCTTTTTTTACTTGAGTTTAACAGATTTCCAGAACTTTCCAGGACCAGTAGCCCTTTTCCAGGACTTTCCAGTCCTGGAAAATGCCACAATAAAATTCCAGGACTTTCCAGGTTTTCCAGAACTCATACGAACCCTGTACACAAGACTTGAAATACATGTATGTTTCAACCAGGATTAAATGCAGTAGAATTCCAGATTTTCAAGACCTCCTGGGGAAAAGGAAATTGGCTCAAATTATCGGCAGGTTTGAAAATCAGGGGTAAAATGACAGTGTCTAACTGAAAAGGGAAATCACTTTTGGTTTGAATTATTGGCGTCCAATTTCAAACCAGGGCACCAGCAAACACTTCCTTATCTATAAGTTCATGATAGTTCCACTTTGATTTCATAAGAACTTTTCCTTACAAGGCTGAAAATTAATACAATTAATGCAACCAATCTGTTGCAAAGGTAATGGAAATGTCACTGATGCAGAGCATTGCTGTAAAAAAGAGTGTCATCTTGGTCAGTGTGGTCCTTGTGATGGAATAACAAAGATCAAATGTAGATGTGGTTCAAGTACAAAGGTAAACTTTCATGTACTACATGTATACCATAAAAATTGTGAGAATTTCAAAGCAACATGTATTGTAAAATGTCAGCTGTTCGTATTTTAAATAGTTGTCATGATAAGGATAAGTAATAGTATAACTATTATTAGAAATTTTAAATATGCATGTTATTTTTCCTCTTAACAGGAGATTCCTTGTGTGGATAGAAACATGGAAGGTAATACTTAACAGTTTGAGTGATTACAACCAGAAATGATTTTTTTTATTTTCCTCTTAATAATTATTATTGTAGAGAGTTTTATCTCGCTCTTTAAGGTGTATCTCTGTGGCATCATTTCATTAGAACAATATACATGTATTGTGGTGATGTATCACTTTCTTTCTTTCTTCAATATCACTATGGCAATAATTTGCTAGAGGAATATATCGTGATAATCGGTCATGAACTCTAAAAGACATCACTATGATGACATTTCGCTAATTTGATCTTTTACTTTGGCATTTAGCAAGATATCTTAGGAAGAGTACCGGTGTTTCATCGGATTGTGCTTTAAGGTTACCGTATACCTTCAGATCGACAATTTTCTTCAAATCTGGATTTTTGAGTCGAAATATTGGTTGAAGTGTGATCTCTAATGTAAAAAAAATTATTGAAAAAGACTAAATATTGGTGGAGAAATCGCAGTTTCACATTTTTGCTGGAAGTAAAAGTTTCCCTTTTGATTGACAGCCCAGTGCAATCAACTGCATATACCATGCCTGAAATAGGATACCGTTTTCTAAATTTTTTTCTTAGTGCAGATGATTTTAGTACTTGTAAGAAAAACAATGGTAGCTTGTTAAACATTCAAGACAATTGAATTGGAGTTACAAAGTTGACATCAATTTTCTTACATTTTTTGTATCATTGGTCCCTCATCTATGCATTTGCCTCACTCTTTCCTGACTGTTGACATCGATATATTCTTATAGTGCAAGAGCACAAAGTTACCTTGGCAGGTGCTTTGGTTCTAACATATCAACGACATGTACAAGAATGAAACGTACGTGTCCATACTTCATTCTAGCGTACTAAAGTGCCGAGGGAGTCAATAAGATAGCTCGTACACATCCCGCGTACTATGTACTAGCGTACTAAAGTGCCGAAGGACCGAATGAGGTCACGCACGTCTGCACTTAGTTCTAATGTGACGTTTGCACAGGTCGTGCACATCTGCACTTAGTACTAGCGTACTAAAGTTCTGAGGGACTGAATGAGATGGGTCGCACATGTCTGTACTTATTACAAGTGTACTAAAGTCTGAGGGACTGAATGAGATAGGTCACGCATGTCTGTACTTGGTACTAGCGTACTTAAGTTTCGAAGGACTGAATGAAATAGGTCGCGTACTTCTGTACTTAGTACAAACGTACTAAAGTTCCAAGGGACTGAGTGAAATAGGTTGCGCACATCTATACTTAGCACTAGCGTATCGAAGCAACGGAATAAAGAATGTACGTTACAAATGTCCGTACTTAGTACTAACGTACTAATGTACCAAGGTGAATGAATAAAGAACGTANTATTGTAATACGTGCAGAATCTTCGGTTATGGTGGCACTTCGTACGCTAGTACTGGTACTATTCCGATTTTTGCGGCTATATGTTCATCGGTTGTTCGTACGCTTAGTATGTAATCACATTAGTACGTGCACAATCTTTGGTTGTGGCAGTGCTCAGTACGCTGGTATTGTAATACGTGCAGAATCTTCGGTTATGGTGGCACTTCGTACGCTAGTACTGGTACTATTCCGATTTTTGCGGCTATATGTTCATCGGTTGTTCGTACGCTTAGTATGTAATCACATTAGTACGTGCACAATCTTTGGTTGTGGCAGTGCTCAGTACGCTGGTATTGTAATACGTGCAGAATCTTCGGTTATGGTGGCACTTCGTACGCTAGTACTGGTACTATTCCGATTTTTGCGGCTATATGTTCATCGGTTGTTCGTACGCTTAGTATGTAATCACATTAGTACGTGCACAATCTTTGGTTGTGGCAGTGCTCAGTACGCTGGTATTGTAATACGTGCAGAATCTTCGGTTATGGTGGCACTTCGTACGCTAGTACTGGTACTATTCCGATTTTTGCGGCTATATGTTCATCGGTTGTTCGTACGCTTAGTATGTAATCACATTAGTACGTGCACAATCTTTGGTTGTGGCAGTGCTCAGTACGCTGGTATTGTAATACGTGCAGAATCTTCGGTTATGGTGGCACTTCGTACGCTAGTACTGGTACTATTCCGATTTTTGCGGCTATATGTTCATCGGTTGTTCGTACGCTTAGTATGTAATCACATTAGTACGTGCACAATCTTTGGTTGTGGCAGTGCTCAGTACGCTGGTATTGTAATACGTGCAGAATCTTCGGTTATGGTGGCACTTCGTACGCTAGTACTGGTACTATTCCGATTTTTGCGGCTATATGTTCATCGGTTGTTCGTACGCTTAGTATGTAATCACATTAGTACGTGCACAATCTTTGGTTGTGGCAGTGCTCAGTACGCTGGTATTGTAATACGTGCAGAATCTTCGGTTATGGTGGCACTTCGTACGCTAGTACTGGTACTATTCCGATTTTTGCGGCTATATGTTCATCGGTTGTTCGTACGCTTAGTATGTAATCACATTAGTACGTGCACAATCTTTGGTTGTGGCAGTGCTCAGTACGCTGGTATTGTAATACGTGCAGAATCTTCGGTTATGGTGGCACTTCGTACGCTAGTACTGGTACTATTCCGATTTTTGCGGCTATATGTTCATCGGTTGTTCGTACGCTTAGTATGTAATCACATTAGTACGTGCACAATCTTTGGTTGTGGCAGTGCTCAGTACGCTGGTATTGTAATACGTGCAGAATCTTCGGTTATGGTGGCACTTCGTACGCTAGTACTGGTACTATTCCGATTTTTGCGGCTATATGTTCATCGGTTGTTCGTACGCTTAGTATGTAATCACATTAGTACGTGCACAATCTTTGGTTGTGGCAGTGCTCAGTACGCTGGTATTGTAATACGTGCAGAATCTTCGGTTATGGTGGCACTTCGTACGCTAGTACTGGTACTATTCCGATTTTTGCGGCTATATGTTCATCGGTTGTTCGTACGCTTAGTATGTAATCACATTAGTACGTGCACAATCTTTGGTTGTGGCAGTGCTCAGTACGCTGGTATTGTAATACGTGCAGAATCTTCGGTTATGGTGGCACTTCGTACGCTAGTACTGGTACTATTCCGATTTTTGCGGCTATATGTTCATCGGTTGTTCGTACGCTTAGTATGTAATCACATTAGTACGTGCACAATCTTTGGTTGTGGCAGTGCTCAGTACGCTGGTATTGTAATACGTGCAGAATCTTCGGTTATGGTGGCACTTCGTACGCTAGTACTGGTACTATTCCGATTTTTGCGGCTATATGTTCATCGGTTGTTCGTACGCTTAGTATGTAATCACATTAGTACGTGCACAATCTTTGGTTGTGGCAGTGCTCAGTACGCTGGTATTGTAATACGTGCAGAATCTTCGGTTATGGTGGCACTTCGTACGCTAGTACTGGTACTATTCCGATTTTTGCGGCTATATGTTCATCGGTTGTTCGTACGCTTAGTATGTAATCACATTAGTACGTGCACAATCTTTGGTTGTGGCAGTGCTCAGTACGCTGGTATTGTAATACGTGCAGAATCTTCGGTTATGGTGGCACTTCGTACGCTAGTACTGGTACTATTCCGATTTTTGCGGCTATATGTTCATCGGTTGTTCGTACGCTTAGTATGTAATCACATTAGTACGTGCACAATCTTTGGTTGTGGCAGTGCTCAGTACGCTGGTATTGTAATACGTGCAGAATCTTCGGTTATGGTGGCACTTCGTACGCTAGTACTGGTACTATTCCGATTTTTGCGGCTATATGTTCATCGGTTGTTCGTACGCTTAGTATGTAATCACATTAGTACGTGCACAATCTTTGGTTGTGGCAGTGCTCAGTACGCTGGTATTGTAATACGTGCAGAATCTTCGGTTATGGTGGCACTTCGTACGCTAGTACTGGTACTATTCCGATTTTTGCGGCTATATGTTCATCGGTTGTTCGTACGCTTAGTATGTAATCACATTAGTACGTGCACAATCTTTGGTTGTGGCAGTGCTCAGTACGCTGGTATTGTAATACGTGCAGAATCTTCGGTTATGGTGGCACTTCGTACGCTAGTACTGGTACTATTCCGATTTTTGCGGCTATATGTTCATCGGTTGTTCGTACGCTTAGTATGTAATCACATTAGTACGTGCACAATCTTTGGTTGTGGCAGTGCTCAGTACGCTGGTATTGTAATACGTGCAGAATCTTCGGTTATGGTGGCACTTCGTACGCTAGTACTGGTACTATTCCGATTTTTGCGGCTATATGTTCATCGGTTGTTCGTACGCTTAGTATGTAATCACATTAGTACGTGCACAATCTTTGGTTGTGGCAGTGCTCAGTACGCTGGTATTGTAATACGTGCAGAATCTTCGGTTATGGTGGCACTTCGTACGCTAGTACTGGTACTATTCCGATTTTTGCGGCTATATGTTCATCGGTTGTTCGTACGCTTAGTATGTAATCACATTAGTACGTGCACAATCTTTGGTTGTGGCAGTGCTCAGTACGCTGGTATTGTAATACGTGCAGAATCTTCGGTTATGGTGGCACTTCGTACGCTAGTACTGGTACTATTCCGATTTTTGCGGCTATATGTTCATCGGTTGTTCGTACGCTTAGTATGTAATCACATTAGTACGTGCACAATCTTTGGTTGTGGCAGTGCTCAGTACGCTGGTATTGTAATACGTGCAGAATCTTCGGTTATGGTGGCACTTCGTACGCTAGTACTGGTACTATTCCGATTTTTGCGGCTATATGTTCATCGGTTGTTCGTACGCTTAGTATGTAATCACATTAGTACGTGCACAATCTTTGGTTGTGGCAGTGCTCAGTACGCTGGTATTGTAATACGTGCAGAATCTTCGGTTATGGTGGCACTTCGTACGCTAGTACTGGTACTATTCCGATTTTTGCGGCTATATGTTCATCGGTTGTTCGTACGCTTAGTATGTAATCACATTAGTACGTGCACAATCTTTGGTTGTGGCAGTGCTCAGTACGCTGGTATTGTAATACGTGCAGAATCTTCGGTTATGGTGGCACTTCGTACGCTAGTACTGGTACTATTCCGATTTTTGCGGCTATATGTTCATCGGTTGTTCGTACGCTTAGTATGTAATCACATTAGTACGTGCACAATCTTTGGTTGTGGCAGTGCTCAGTACGCTGGTATTGTAATACGTGCAGAATCTTCGGTTATGGTGGCACTTCGTACGCTAGTACTGGTACTATTCCGATTTTTGCGGCTATATGTTCATCGGTTGTTCGTACGCTTAGTATGTAATCACATTAGTACGTGCACAATCTTTGGTTGTGGCAGTGCTCAGTACGCTGGTATTGTAATACGTGCAGAATCTTCGGTTATGGTGGCACTTCGTACGCTAGTACTGGTACTATTCCGATTTTTGCGGCTATATGTTCATCGGTTGTTCGTACGCTTAGTATGTAATCACATTAGTACGTGCACAATCTTTGGTTGTGGCAGTGCTCAGTACGCTGGTATTGTAATACGTGCAGAATCTTCGGTTATGGTGGCACTTCGTACGCTAGTACTGGTACTATTCCGATTTTTGCGGCTATATGTTCATCGGTTGTTCGTACGCTTAGTATGTAATCACATTAGTACGTGCACAATCTTTGGTTGTGGCAGTGCTCAGTACGCTGGTATTGTAATACGTGCAGAATCTTCGGTTATGGTGGCACTTCGTACGCTAGTACTGGTACTATTCCGATTTTTGCGGCTATATGTTCATCGGTTGTTCGTACGCTTAGTATGTAATCACATTAGTACGTGCACAATCTTTGGTTGTGGCAGTGCTCAGTACGCTGGTATTGTAATACGTGCAGAATCTTCGGTTATGGTGGCACTTCGTACGCTAGTACTGGTACTATTCCGATTTTTGCGGCTATATGTTCATCGGTTGTTCGTACGCTTAGTATGTAATCACATTAGTACGTGCACAATCTTTGGTTGTGGCAGTGCTCAGTACGCTGGTATTGTAATACGTGCAGAATCTTCGGTTATGGTGGCACTTCGTACGCTAGTACTGGTACTATTCCGATTTTTGCGGCTATATGTTCATCGGTTGTTCGTACGCTTAGTATGTAATCACATTAGTACGTGCACAATCTTTGGTTGTGGCAGTGCTCAGTACGCTGGTATTGTAATACGTGCAGAATCTTCGGTTATGGTGGCACTTCGTACGCTAGTACTGGTACTATTCCGATTTTTGCGGCTATATGTTCATCGGTTGTTCGTACGCTTAGTATGTAATCACATTAGTACGTGCACAATCTTTGGTTGTGGCAGTGCTCAGTACGCTGGTATTGTAATACGTGCAGAATCTTCGGTTATGGTGGCACTTCGTACGCTAGTACTGGTACTATTCCGATTTTTGCGGCTATATGTTCATCGGTTGTTCGTACGCTTAGTATGTAATCACATTAGTACGTGCACAATCTTTGGTTGTGGCAGTGCTCAGTACGCTGGTATTGTAATACGTGCAGAATCTTCGGTTATGGTGGCACTTCGTACGCTAGTACTGGTACTATTCCGATTTTTGCGGCTATATGTTCATCGGTTGTTCGTACGCTTAGTATGTAATCACATTAGTACGTGCACAATCTTTGGTTGTGGCAGTGCTCAGTACGCTGGTATTGTAATACGTGCAGAATCTTCGGTTATGGTGGCACTTCGTACGCTAGTACTGGTACTATTCCGATTTTTGCGGCTATATGTTCATCGGTTGTTCGTACGCTTAGTATGTAATCACATTAGTACGTGCACAATCTTTGGTTGTGGCAGTGCTCAGTACGCTGGTATTGTAATACGTGCAGAATCTTCGGTTATGGTGGCACTTCGTACGCTAGTACTGGTACTATTCCGATTTTTGCGGCTATATGTTCATCGGTTGTTCGTACGCTTAGTATGTAATCACATTAGTACGTGCACAATCTTTGGTTGTGGCAGTGCTCAGTACGCTGGTATTGTAATACGTGCAGAATCTTCGGTTATGGTGGCACTTCGTACGCTAGTACTGGTACTATTCCGATTTTTGCGGCTATATGTTCATCGGTTGTTCGTACGCTTAGTATGTAATCACATTAGTACGTGCACAATCTTTGGTTGTGGCAGTGCTCAGTACGCTGGTATTGTAATACGTGCAGAATCTTCGGTTATGGTGGCACTTCGTACGCTAGTACTGGTACTATTCCGATTTTTGCGGCTATATGTTCATCGGTTGTTCGTACGCTTAGTATGTAATCACATTAGTACGTGCACAATCTTTGGTTGTGGCAGTGCTCAGTACGCTGGTATTGTAATACGTGCAGAATCTTCGGTTATGGTGGCACTTCGTACGCTAGTACTGGTACTATTCCGATTTTTGCGGCTATATGTTCATCGGTTGTTCGTACGCTTAGTATGTAATCACATTAGTACGTGCACAATCTTTGGTTGTGGCAGTGCTCAGTACGCTGGTATTGTAATACGTGCAGAATCTTCGGTTATGGTGGCACTTCGTACGCTAGTACTGGTACTATTCCGATTTTTGCGGCTATATGTTCATCGGTTGTTCGTACGCTTAGTATGTAATCACATTAGTACGTGCACAATCTTTGGTTGTGGCAGTGCTCAGTACGCTGGTATTGTAATACGTGCAGAATCTTCGGTTATGGTGGCACTTCGTACGCTAGTACTGGTACTATTCCGATTTTTGCGGCTATATGTTCATCGGTTGTTCGTACGCTTAGTATGTAATCACATTAGTACGTGCACAATCTTTGGTTGTGGCAGTGCTCAGTACGCTGGTATTGTAATACGTGCAGAATCTTCGGTTATGGTGGCACTTCGTACGCTAGTACTGGTACTATTCCGATTTTTGCGGCTATATGTTCATCGGTTGTTCGTACGCTTAGTATGTAATCACATTAGTACGTGCACAATCTTTGGTTGTGGCAGTGCTCAGTACGCTGGTATTGTAATACGTGCAGAATCTTCGGTTATGGTGGCACTTCGTACGCTAGTACTGGTACTATTCCGATTTTTGCGGCTATATGTTCATCGGTTGTTCGTACGCTTAGTATGTAATCACATTAGTACGTGCACAATCTTTGGTTGTGGCAGTGCTCAGTACGCTGGTATTGTAATACGTGCAGAATCTTCGGTTATGGTGGCACTTCGTACGCTAGTACTGGTACTATTCCGATTTTTGCGGCTATATGTTCATCGGTTGTTCGTACGCTTAGTATGTAATCACATTAGTACGTGCACAATCTTTGGTTGTGGCAGTGCTCAGTACGCTGGTATTGTAATACGTGCAGAATCTTCGGTTATGGTGGCACTTCGTACGCTAGTACTGGTACTATTCCGATTTTTGCGGCTATATGTTCATCGGTTGTTCGTACGCTTAGTATGTAATCACATTAGTACGTGCACAATCTTTGGTTGTGGCAGCGCTCAGTACGCTGGTATTGTAATATGTGCAGAATCTTCGGTTATGGCGGCCCTTAGTACGCTGGTATTATAGTACATGCAGAATCTTCGGTTATGGTGGCATTTTGTACGCTAGTACTGATACTATTCCAATTTTTGCAGCTATATGTTCATCAGTTGTTAGTACGCTTAGTACGTAATCACGTTTGTACGTGCACAATCTTCGCCTATGGATTTAGTAGTATGCTAGTACTAACAGTATCCATGCTATTGAAGCGATTATTGGTGATGGATTTTGGCGATTAATAGGCGCTTATCTTTAGGGTTTTGGGTCGCCTGGTACATTAGGAGTCTATACGAGTAATACACGCTATTGGTACAAATGACTAAGAGAAAAAAAGTACACGAAAGGTTCCTAAAATGGGCAGCATCCGAGATGACTTTCGCAGGAATTATACAGATGCCACGAATTGGCTACTTAGTTGATCAGCCGTTAAGCATCTTCCATGAGTGTAATTCTTTTTAGTTATAGTTATGAATAAACCTGGACCACAGAAATCTCCATGGACCAGTTCGAAGAAGCAAAAGAAGCAAACCAAAAATGAAAATGCAGCAATGAGCAAACAAGCGAAATTTGGCCTTGCGGCGTCAGATAAAGGGTCGTACTATCAGCAGGAATGGTCTGACGATTCCGACTCCAAGTTTGAAGCTACGGCTATGGGTTCTAGCCGGCAAAAGATCAAGTTGAGAGCTGAGAAAGGCACTGTATAATTTTGGGAACTTGATAGCGATGAAAGTAATGGTGACTGCAGTGACTCTTCTGATGAGTGCGATAACAACCATACGTCGGACTCACTGAATATTATTGATGCACAGTTGCTGCAAGATGCTTTGAAAGAATCTGCCATCTGCAGAGACTGTAAAACTGGAGAACTTCAACTCCTTGAAGACAAAAGTTCAAGAAACAGCCAGGGACAGATTTGGATTCTTCAGTGCAAACGTGTCAATTGTAATTTTCATAAGAATCCAAAACGTTTTCACACCTCACTAAAGAGTTCGCGATTCTATGAGTTGAACTGTGCAATCGTTTTGGCCTTTTGGTCAATTGGTCATGGTTACTCCACTGCTCAAAGGTTTTGCAGTATTGTCAATCTACCAGATCCCGTCTGCAAAAAACCCTGGATGCGGCACACCCAAGCGATTTTGAAAGCTGCAGAAACCCTGCTCAAAGAAGAACTAAATGAGGCCACCTTTGAAGTTAAGAAGCTGTTGAGGGACATTGGAGATATTGAAGACTGTTCGGATGAAGAACTGAGAGAAAAAGTTGTGGATGGTGGTGCCAGTTTGGATGGTTGGTGGAGCAGGAGAGGCTGGTCAGCGCACGATGGAATTGTTGCTGCAATATCGGTTGAAACTGGAAAGGTTGTGGACGTTGTTTATTTAAGTTGTTTGTGCAGTGAACGCTCCAAAATGGAGGAGAAGAGAAACAATGGCAAGATTTCCAGACGTGAATTTCTTGAGTGGTATCTTTGTCATGACAACAGCTGTTTTCAGAATCATGACAGAAGTGCAGCAGTAAGTGTTCCATTTGTGCTGTGCTTGCATGCAACAGAAAACTCCCAGAAAATTTTGCTGGGGGTGTGCAGCCCGCTTCCCAAAACCCTTACCCTTTTTATGACCAAAATCTGCGATTTTCCCTACCCTATTTATGACCAGACAAAAAATTCGATACCCTATTTATGACTGTTGTGGCTGACACAGTTGCGCTAAACATAATTTTTGAAGGGCTTTTGTTTATGGTCTTATCGATAATGATGAAATCGTGGCTTCTTCTAAAAAGCATACCCAATTCAGGACTACAGTGCAAAAACCATACCCCATTTAAGACCAAAATGGACAAATCGATACCCCATTTATGACCAAAACGGATGAAAAACTATACCCTTTGGTACCGCACATACCTATATAGCCCATATAAGAGAGTATCCCCTCCCCCGGGCTTGCATGTAAATTGACCCCTTTTTAAATGTGGCATATTCTCTCTCAGGGGTTTTATGCACTTAAAAGAATGCTCCATTGGGCTAATAGAGTAAGGTGCCACGGATATAATAGAATTATATAACAGGGAATAGAATTATATTGCCTTATTTGTTTCTGACATCTCTCTTATCTGTAGGCCATGGAAGCAGAAGGAGCACTAAAGATATACCTTAGGTCAGAAGAAAAGTGAAAACTTCGTTACATGCCATATGTGGGTGACAGAGACAGTAAAAGCTACGCAAGAGTGCAGTATGCAAAACCATATGGTCCTGCTGTTGAAATTGAACTAGACGCTTTGCTGCGTGTACCCAGGCTGTCGTTATACTGAGAAGCACTAGCTAAGAAATTCAATCAAATTGATGTGCTTAAGCTCTTCTGCTTTTGATTGCATTTCTTGGAATCGATTAATAGCTTATTACACGTTTGCAGGTCTTAAGGGTGTGAAAAGAGTCAAGGTCTTTATATCAGCCTATAAACATTTCAGCCTATTTTCCTCAGCCTTTGTCGTTGTTATTTGCGTTTCTCAAGCAAGCGAGACATTTTGAATTTCATAGTTATGGCGATGCGTGACATAGACCTACGAACGCAGTTGTCGAAATCATATACTTATGTTGTGATTTTTAGCCCAATCAGCAGTTAAAGTACTAGGAAAAGTGCTTATGTAAATGCTTGTTTGTTCAGTATAGCTAATCAGTCGCCTAGATAGCCAAAGTAAGCTCCAGATGTTTACACTATTTTCCGGCC